GGAAACGCCAGGTACCATTCCAAAACAAGATTCCATTCCTTCATGCTACAGCTTTTTAGCCGAACGAGAAAGCAAAAACGATAAACCCGATCAAGTACCTGCTGTACGGGTATACATACCAATATTTCAACCTACTCATCCAGAACAGCGCCCAAGCAGTTCCGCCCAACTTGTCTGACCCCAACAACTCACCATTGCAACATTATTAATGTTAGGGTGTGCCAGCAACCCTTTCTTCGGATATGTCGGACTTGCATAGTAGCTGACCATCTCGTAGTGCACACCCGTGTTATTCCACGAGTTAAGCCACGACCCTTCAGAGTTTGACGTCATCACCTGTTTTGGCACAGTACATGCAAGAAAGATCGATGACATGTCCTGGGACGGAGGAATCTGTTGTGTTGGGGCCCCCAAAAGCTTTGAGCAATTGTGCGCCACTGCTCATGCGCTCACGGCGTGTGGTTCTCTCTCAAAAATGAATGTAGTACCATGGTGATGCCTGTGCGCAGAGTTGAATGTCTAAGACTGGGCATGTTCATGCTTCTAACAGGCAGACCTCCCAACCTTGAAATTTCCTAGACGATAACACGTGAAATGGGGGATGAAGTGATGTACCATCTTGCCGGTGACTGTAGTCCCTCAGCGGGTATGCCCGTGAACATAAAAACAACGTCGCACCCAAGTTTCATCTGCAGAAACGGCGATCTGTCCGAGTACGCCGCCTCCACCACCATCGATACGACCTTCATCGAAGTGAGAACTCGAAGACAGGTCTGTGGGCGACTCGTCGTGGTGCACCAGACTGTGGGGTCGTGCAAAATTGTGCGGCGGGGGCAAAAAATGGAGACATGTTTGGTGGAATAAATTCGCCACAGACAAATGAGAGGGCGACAGAGGGCGACGTGAACATTGCGGGTTGAAAGGCGTGACTGGTTTATGGCGTGTGCCCAAGGAGTGCACCTCCTGAAGCCTTCCGCTGTAGTTGGCGTGCCATGATCACGCTTTCCAGAAGAACGATTCTGTAGTTGCATACGTTCTTGTCCGTATATAGTCTCTTATCTGCGCCCAGTGGTTCCCAGCAAGATCAAGAAACAAGCCCTGTACTCAGAATGCTGTACGGCTTTCTTGTCCGAACTCGGTATCGGTGGATGCAAGTTTATTGCAACGTCGCGCACGATCAAGCTTGGAGGGCGGGTCCCTCCGTGTCCACGGCTTCGGGTCAAGGTAAAATAATACAGACGCAAGAAATCGTGCGCAAAGTTCAAGCAGATCTTTCCAGACTTTTCTAACTTGTTCAGGACATCATTCTTTAGGATCGTCAAGCACACAAGCATGGGATCTAAGATACTATTGTACCGGACAGACAGGAGGGCGGGACGGAGAAAGATCTGGTCAGAGAGAGAAATAAATTCACATCCCAGGGGATAAGGATAGAGGGGTACCGCAAATAATAGGAGAAATGCTTGGCCTAAGGAGACGCATGCGTTATGCCCGAACACAACACAGCAATAAATCCTCTCTCACTCTGGAACGTAGTCGCTTGGTTTGGCATGGGTGCTGTGTTGCCGCCATCAAAGAAGCGAGCAATGCACATACGCACATGCAGCGACATAATGACCACTAAACTGCGTACGGTACACAAGAGCAGACCGGCACATTTTTTTTTTTTATGGCATAGCACGTGCTTCCTGCCAATCGTGCAACCGGCAACAGGATTGGAAGGAACAGACTCACAATTGCGTAGGCACCACAATCATAAATGCTTTCCATCGATCCCATCCGCTCATATTTCCTCTCGTTAATAATCTAGAATCATTGGTTGAAACCTTTTCTCCACTAGTCTCCGCGGCCCCGGTCGGGGGACCTCGCCGGTCAGGTCGATTTTTTTCTGTCTGTTATTATTCAGCCGGTTGTCGCGGTTCATGCACAGGTAACAAGAGCATATAAGCAAGATCGGCTGGCCGATCGTAGAGGATTTGAACAGGTCGTCAACAGTGAGAAACGGTTGAGGATTGGCACGGCGACCAGGCAAGAAGTTGTTATGGAGTCCTTGTGTTCACAAGAAAAAAGGACAATAATACCCCGAGGACTGCGGACAAGACAGACTATCCAGTGCGACGCAAACCTCGGCTCGATGGCAGTGTTGCAAGCGTATGCTCTATACGGTTTACACTAGGTTTCGGGTAGGCATTGGAAGTGTCACAAGACTAGGCTTTTGAGTATTGCCTGGACAGATCTCGCAGAATGTTGTGGATAGATTCAAACAGTGTCGCAAACCGGTAATATGCATTCCGGGTATGCAACCGAATATCGTTGCACACGACTCACAGAAGTTCTGTAGGGTATTGGAAGTGCTACAGAACCCGGCAGAAATATTCCGTGGGTACCACAAACATCGAACCCTTGCAAATATTTGTAGACACGAAGCTTGTTATTTTCAAACACGGGATATCCCTCAAGTCTAGTGTCAAACATTTTGAAGGGATTTGTTCCTCCAGGTCGGATTAACCGAAGCAGATAAGAAGGTGAAGGCAACATCAAGTTAGTTAGGCGTATTATGCGAGGCACTCATTCAGTGATTGATGAACACTGTCGGGTAAGCTCACAGCATTGACAGAATATTGCAATCAAGGATCGTTATAAGTAGATGGAGCGGGGAATTTGGGCGCTCCACGGTTGTAATGAATTGGGATGGGTGGTACCATATCTGCCATAAATTGTTGTACTCTGGGCATGTGTGTCTGCAACGGTATGGCCATGTGAACTTGGGTAATTCATATTCCTTTTTCCCGGCTATCACGCCCAGGGCTACATTTATACGCCCATGAATATACTACCTGGCTATTTCGCCACCCGGCTTCCACGCCACCACTAGTAGGACTTCCACGTCCGTTGCTATATCTACATACCCGGCTTCCACACCACCTGGCTTCCACGCCACTAGGACTTCTATATCACGGCTTCCACGCCACCCGGCTTTCAAGCCACCACCAGGGTTATCACACCCACCCGAGCTATCACGCCCGGGGGTAGAAGATGCATATTGCCGTCACGGGCTTCACGCCTATGGCTGTTTATTCCCACGAAAGGAAGCGCCAGAAGCACGGGTCTACTCAACAAATACATCAACACATCAAATAGTTCGTTTGTGTTCGCGAGCTGTGTGTGGCAAGATGATGGCTCACGCCTGCCGCGCGCTCCCCTCCTATATTCACTCATATTTCCTAGCTTGGGCACAGAAGCACCAGTTCAGACATACATGTGTACTTTTGTAGCAATCACTCTGTGGGCTTCTGCGCACTGTTATGGGCAGGTGCAACTGTTCATCGTTCCCGAACTTGAAAGAGCGATTCTATGGTATCTTCTTCTCACTGTTACATCCAAGACAATGGCGGAGGAATGTCTCACGTCCCACTTTTTAGTCTAGACGAATAGTCGAGTGCGGAAAAATGTCTCACGTCCTACTTTTTCGTGCAGACGAAAACAGTAGGTGTCCTGATATAGTGCCAGTTGTCGGAGTTATGCATCATGGCTGGATACCTGCAGTAGCATCGTGAGTCACGCGGGATACCTGCAGTATTCCATCATGAGTCACGCAATTCTCTCTGTGATCGATTGCAGCAACACAACAAGACGTCTCTGTCTGTATGATGCATATATATATATATATATATATGTGCAAGTACGTGTGTTCTACGCTTGTAGCCTATGGATAATAGGTTGAGAGTTTTGTCCTAGATACACAGCAGTGAGTGGTAGAAGCCTGCGTGTAGAAGTCGAGCAGGGAGACTGAATACGTCAGAGAGATTGTCGGAATATTTGCGGTGAAACTTTCTTGGGTTGTCCGAAAAGACCCCGAGAGACCAGTACAGCGAGTTGATCTCGGGAGAACCCTGTTTTGACGGTTGTACGATATTGTTTTTTGTTTTCGAGATGAGACACAAGCGCCCTCTCGCCCCCTTTGTGCTCACTCCACTTTAGCACCATCAAAACATGACGCGGGAGTCAGTCAGTAATCAAACATCTTTCTTTGCTTCTTCGTTCCAAGGCACACATCAAGTTGCACCCGCACTCGAAAGTGTAACCTCTGTGTAGGCTGCTGTACAACCACAGCTTCTGTACAACCACAGCCTACGAAGCGACCGTTGCACACAGCACACACCCGCTGCTGCAAAGACGCTTTTCCCGAAAGGTTATGAGCCTCGCATAAACGCGTACACATCGAGCTGTGCACGAGACAACGAGTTCAGCTGCCGGACCTCCTAGCTTCACCAGGCTTCTGTTCTTCAACTGCGGAGAAGATACAGCGGGAAACGGTTCAGCTTTCGGTTCAGCTTTCGGTTCAGAGATCAAGAAGATACGAGGTCGAGCCAGGAAGAACGAGCTCCGACTGAGGAAGACAAGTAAGCGACATACGGTTTCACACACACAAGACAGGGGCTTCACACAGTGGGAGGAGCTCCTTCAGTGCTGTAATCACCAAGATATTCGCTGGAAACAAGGGCTCATACGTAGAGCAGAAAACCGCTGCATCACCAGCAGGGACGGTCCACACCGTAGTCCGACACACCCATGCGCAAGGAGAGGGTAAACAGGAGCGGGACCGGGAAAGGGCGACCTACAACCGTCATCCTTTTGAGCAGGAGCGGGGTCGAGACGGTCTGCACCGTAGTCCAATACACCCAATCGTAAGGAGAGGGTAGACAGGAGCGGGTCTGGGAAGGGACGACCTACAAGCGCAATCCTTTTGAGCAGGAGCGGGGTCGGGAAAGGACGACCTACAACCGCAATCCTTTTGAGCAGGAGCGGGGTCGGGAAAGGACGACTGACAACCGCAGTCCATTTGAATAGGAGCGGGGTCGGGAAGTCTCGGGTTCACACCACGAGCAAACAATTCCTACGATGGGAGGGACTGCTGCAACGGACAGCACGTAACATCAGCATCGTCCTGTACACCACACGGCAACAGGAGCGCATCACGATAGAAACGACATACCAGGATGGGTGATTATTCGCCCAGCGACAACACCTCCAATCTCTCCAACACTATTCGAGGGCTGAAGAAGTTCGACGGAAGGAACCCAGCTGAATTTGAGGAATGGATGAAAAGGCTCTGCGTCGTCCTGGGAGTACTGCGCAGGGACATCCTTCCACTGCTGAAAGGCCGGAGTAGGCCCGCGGAAACCGACGATGACTACGCCGCCTACTGCAAGTCGAACGAGGACCTGTACGCCATACTCTACCTGCTGGTGGAACTACCGGCGTCCCTTTCAGTACAGAAGCACGAGGACGACAGCGAGATCAGCGGAGACGGTCAGGCAGCCTTCGAGGAATTGAACTTGAACTACAACAAGGTTACGGACGAAGTGATTCGAGCAACCACGGAGGAGCTGATCAACACACCCATGGAATCCGGGCAGAACCCGGACGACTACTTCAACCAGAAGCACCTCAGACGACACAACGCTGAGAAGATGGGGGAACGATCTCGGACCGCTACTTCAAGGACATATGCGTCACCGGCTTCACGAACGAGTACAAGGACGTCAAGATGACCATGTACCGCGACCCAGACTTCAACGTCGACAACATGCAAACCACCATGCGTCACATGTTCCTTGACGAGCAATCTCGTAAAGGGCCGAAGAGCCGCATCGCGGGGGGTGGTTTCGCATTGACTACCACTACCTCAGAGGGACCGACTTGCTTCGACTGCGGAGAAAAGGGACACATCCGGAGTAGCTGCCCCGAAAGGAAAGGCAAAGGAACGAAGAAGACCAAGCCTGCCGGAGCCAACAAGTAGTGCTCGGTTCACTTCACGACCAGGCACTCCGACGAGGAATGCTTCGAGCGAGGAGCGCCGCGGCCGGTTAAATCCAGCAACACGGGCAAGGCCCTCTCCGCATGCGCTAATTGTGCACACTGCCTCTCAGCTAGCAACAAAATAGAACCAGCCACGACGAAAAGGGAGGCAAGCAGCACGGAAGCCGAAATCGACTTCAGCGAAGACGGCGAATCAGAGGAAGGGTTCATGTACGCCACCGTCCACAAAAGAGGGGAGCTGAAGCCCAACGATACCGAAGCCACCATGCTGGAGGCGAGCAGCACCAAAGCCGAAATCGACTTCAGCGCAGATGGCGAGTCAGAGGAAGCATTCATGTACGCCACTGCTCACAAAGGGGGGGAGTTCGAGGCCAACGCTGCCGGAGCCACTCTGCTCGTCGACACCGGAGCATCCGAGAATATGCTCGATGACCGCCTCATCCCAGGTCTGAAGGAAACAATGCGGGAGTTCAATCACCTCGCCAAACCCAAGGTGGTCTCGGTTGGTGGCGACCACAAGCTGGACGGAAACGCTACAGGACTCATCCATTGCACCGGCAAGTACAATGGCGGCAGGAAACAGGCCGTGCTCCTGCGAGGACTAGTTGTCCCCGGCCTCGGACGCAACGTCTTCTCGCCTACGGCGCAGATAAAGAACGGCGTCAAGCTCGTCATCGAGGACGGTAACCCGCACCTCGCGGTAGGAGGTCACATTTTGCCGCTAGAACAGGATTCGCGCGACGTGGGTATGTGCTCTCTTGACATATAGTTCCAAGCCGCCTCCGAGCAAAAGACAGCGCCCATGAACCCAACATCTCCGAACTTCCGGACGATCGGGGGTTTGGCAAGCCGGAGACAGTGACGGCTGATGATGACCTAGGGTTCGCGTACGAAGCCACGGTGAACGCGACCACTCTGCACCGGCGGCTTGGATATCTCAACTTCCGGAGCATGGAACTGCTACGCAAAAAGGAGGGCCACGGAGTCGATTCCTCGGACTACATGACAACATGCGACATCTGCGCCATCAGCAAGGGCAGGCAGCTCGACCTGGAAACCGAAAATCAGCTGCTCCGGCAAGAGATTCGCCGTATGCGACACAGGGAGGAGCTCCAACAACGGGCAATCAACACGGGACACGACATTCCGCCAAGCCGGCCGCACTCGCTTCAGGTAGCCACATCCGGCGACGACCCAAATGCTGCACAGGCAGAAGGCATCAGGCAGCGCGCCGAAGCTGACCCAGGGGAAATCGCGGCCGCTTGAACCGACCCACGCCGCCACCAGGAGGAGACCGAACGCCTCTGATTCGATCGAACACTCCCTTGCACCTAGCTCCCTGGAAATCTCCATGGACCTCAGCGGAAACGGATGCATGACGTCAACGATAATGCGGCCCGACCCCAGCGCGCTGACTGTTGGATCTCGCCAACAACACCTACCACGATCACACCAGCGTCGCTCCGGATTTTTCTCATCTGGGTGAAGAATCGCTCCCAGCATGGCGGACCTACGTGTACGCCACAGGCACCCCAATTCAGCAGGGATTCTAGGGAGGAGGAGTCCATCAAAATCCCGAACACCTCCAAACAGAAAGCCGATGGAAAACTTTTAGTCAAGCTGTCGGTTCAAGGGTACGTGCAGGAGTCTGGCATCGACTACGAGAGGAGCTACGCGCAGGAGTCTTGCATCGACTACGGGAGGAGCTACGCACCGGTGTGTGACATCGGGAGCGTTCGCACCTTGCTCGCTATAGCAAGCGAACAACGATGGCCGGTCCATCAGGTGAACGTCACCGTGGCGTCTCTGCAGTCTGCGATCGACAAAGACGTCCGGGTCAAGCCGACCCAGGACAATACACGAAGCATCCCGCGACCGGGGACATCATGGTCTACCAGCTGGAGAACTGTAAACCCGTTAGAACTCCAGGGTATGGACCAGAACTCTCGACTGATCAGGCAGCGGACAAGCTATCCGGGGCGGCAGACACCAAGCCGTACCAGTACATCACAGGCAGGCAACACCATGTTCAGCTCCTGGACGAAGCATATTGATCTCAGGTTCTCCTTCCAACGCGAGCTGATCAAGAGGAACAACATCAGCATTCACGACAAGCAGAGCCAGGCGATGCTGGCAGACGTGGCGACAAAACACCTGTCGAGACAGCAGTTTATCTCTCTGCTGGACCACATCAAGAACTTCACGTGCTGAGCCTATGGAGATTTCGGATAGCTCATGACAAAAGATACGCGGACGAATAGGCGTGCACCGAGACAGATCTACCTCTTGTGGTGGAACGTTCAAAAATCTCGGACCTGATCTTTTTCTTTCGGAACGAATGATCGGATCAAGGCAGACCATGCCACCAACCTCTGCGGAACCGAGGGAGGATAAAACACAAGACACAGCAAGAACGACGGAGGATACGACTTCGAGCTCAGCATCCATCTGAGGGAAACATCCTCAAACGGAAAACTGCCCTGAGCTCCGAGGGAGCTAGGACAAAACATGTGTGCGGGTATGGGCGTGAACTCCTGTCTGGTTGATTTCTCTGGACTTGAGATTAGGAGTTATTCCGTCTCGGATACATAATCGCCTCTTCCCTATGTAGTCTGCAGCAGATTGCCTCGGTGGATGGAGCACTATATTTCAGTGTTTGCGTGCAATCTAATTGAGTGACCGCTCGCAGTCATAGTTAGATCGTAGTCGCTTTGAGACGTTTGAGTATACCCTGTCCGCGATCAGTAGAGCAAGTGGTGCGTGTTGCAACTCTTGCGGAACACAGCAACAGTACTGCTGTATGGTGTGCACGAAAGAAATTGGAGCTTTTTGTGTTTGTACCAAAAGGCAGATAAATTTTGCATGAGAGGCTACAGAGCTACTCTGGTCATGGATAGACATTTGTTGCAGTTCTATTTCCAATGTGGAGTCGTGTTGGGGATATCCTCTACATGACGCGATGCGCAGCCAGCGCTAGGTAGGTACGATCTGCATGGTATGATGCGCAGCAGCATGGGAGTCTTACCTTTCCCCGGCAAAAATGTGTGCGTGGGGGAGGAGTGTAGACAACTGATGTACATGATAGTCAATATATGATATTCGAAGCAGCAAGTAGCGACACACGAAAGTTCGCCGGCGCGCTGACAGGAACAACGTTTGTGACGACATCGGTCTCCAGTCTTTCGCGTTTGTTTGGTCTCCAGTCTTTCGCGTTGGTTTGTCAAGTAGTCGATCGTTGGTTGATCATTGATAGGTCTTAGGAGCTGCACCGTTTACCGTGCTACTTGATCGAGGGGTCGTGTCGGAGATATGCATCATGGCTGGATACCTGCAGTAGCATCGTGAGTCACGCGGGATACCTGCAGTATTCCATCATGAGTCACGCAATTCTCTCTGTGGTCGATTGCAGCAACACAACAAGACGTCTCTGTGTGATGCATATACATGTACGTGCAAGTACGTGTGTTCTACGCGTGTAGCCTTGGGATGATAGATTCAGAGTTTTGTCCTAGATACACAGCAGTGAGTGGTAGCCTGCGTGTAGAAGTCGAGCAGGGAGACTGAATACGTCAGAGAGATTGTCGGAATATTTGCGGTGAAACTTTCTTGCGTTGTCCGAAAAGACCCCGAGAGACCAGTACAGCGAGTAGGTATCGGGAGAACCCTGTTTTGACAGTTGTATGATATTGTTTTTTGTTTTCGAGATGAGACACAAGCGCGCTCTCGCCCCCTTTGTGCTCACTCCACTTTTTTAGCACCATCACAACCTGACGCGGGAGTCAGTCAGCAATCAAACATGTTTCTTTGCTCGTTCCAAGGCACACATCAAGTTGCACTCGCACTCGAAAGTGTAACCTCTGTGTAGGCTGTTGTACAACCACAGCCTACGAAGCGACCGTTGCACACAGCACACACCCGCTGCTACAGAGACGTTTCTCCCCGAGACCGGAATGCGTCCAAGCGATTTGACCGGCACTTCACAGGGCACCGGCACTTCTCGGAATGGTGCCTGAATAGTGCCAAGCCGGCACTATTAAGGGCATGAAAATCCCTCTGTAGTGCCGGCTTGGCACGATTTAGGACTGTTCGACTTCAGAGTGCAGCGCTTGCGCTTTACGCGGCTGACAGAGTACCAAACGAACCGTACTTGGATCAATCGTGAGGTGGGCGACGTGGGCGGACTTTATTGAGGTTCGTGAGGCTCTTGGACTGTCGAAAACACGGCATTGGCTACATTAAAATTAACTTGATTGACCAGATAGATTTGTTGCACAGCAGTTTTTCTCTTCCTACTTCAGCGCAAGCACTCGCTAGTGAAACGTTGCTGCTGCCTTTCATCCGTAGACCGTGCTGGCCGATAAAAGTTCACCTCGTTTTCAAATTATTATGTGTTGCATTGCAAGAAGGCCGTAGCACTATTGTTATTCAGGCAACCTCAAAGGCACCCCTGGACAGCGAAAGAAAGATGCTCATGCATGCACCCGATGTACATTTGGAGGTAAGACATGGATGGATGTAGTGCTCCTTACGTGAGCACACAAAAGCAGATGCAACCTAAAAAAGGGGTGAACATAACGATCTCCCCTGTTCCTTCGATAAAAAGCTGGAGACCAAGCCTTCAGAAGCAAGAAAAACGACTGGCCAACCAAAAGCGTCGTCAGTCTCAGTGCGGTCAAAAACAGAAATATTTTGTTTCTCAACGAAGTGAGAGGGTGTCATGGAGGAGGCTGAGCTATTCTCTGGATAAAAGACAGAAATGGTACCAACCGAGAGAGGATAACTACGTGGCTGCCAAGGATGAAACCACTCAGATCGGTAAACGTGACATTTGAAGACGTCACGCGTACCGAGAGAAACAGAGCTAGAAAATACTTGTAGCTCGAAGGCAAACCGTCTCCGAATCCTGTTAGTGTGGAAGGCTTGAGGCGAAAAAGGCTGTGTGCGGGATGTGAACCGGCACTATTGAGGGTTTCGATGGTGTCTGAACCGGCACTATAGCGGGAAGCTCTCAATAGTGCCGGTTTGGCACTTTTCAGGCTTGCTTGTGTCTGTCAAGAAGTGTCTACTAAGTAAATTTATCGGCACGACTTCGGCACTATTCAACCGGCACTATATCGGGACACCTACTGAAGTCTATTCTACATAGTCCCTGCTTTACACGACTCCAGCCTAAACCGGTCGCCCCGGTGGTCTAGTTGGTATCCCCGGAAGCGTCTAGACTAGATGTCAGGTTAGGGGTTCGTATCCCGGCGTAAGCGAGCTGAGTTTTTTTCTCGCTTCCGCTCCTGACCTAGAGGATGGCGCTAGTTCGTGTGTACACAGAGGGAAAAGAGTGCTGAACTCTTCTCGCATTAAAAATCGGAGGCAAAGTACCGCAGGAGGGGAGCGTAGAGAGGAGCCCTTCTGTGTGACCACGGGTTGTAGTAAACGGCACTAGTGCTGTGTGCGCTGATTTGAAGTGAAGCCAAAAAAAAAAGCCTCGGCATGCACGCATGCAGCTCGAACAGCTGCGGTATTCGGTGTGTTTGACCCTGCACCACCGGCGTGCTGCCCATCTTTTGTCTAGTGCTGCCGCGACTGAAGCTCTTACAGGCGCACGAAGCCAGTGTTACACAGGCGGCGGAACCTCGCAGCACCACCGACCGGGGTAGCAAGCTTGGAAGACAGTCAGTCTTGCTTTTCACGGATGTACGCCGCGATGGCGAAGACTCATAACATCTGCAGACTAGCGCAAGCACTACAAGCACTACAATTCGCGTCCATCTCAATTCCCTGGCGCCTTGCTTGGCACAGGCTGGAGATACACTGCGGACATGGACTATCTGGATGGTACATACGTACGTAGTACACAGCAGTCTGCACCTGGCTATATTGTACATGGACACATAATAAAAGTATCTCAGGCAGGAACGGTCGGCGGGGACAAAAGAAGATGACAAGAAGAACAAACCCCGGCGTGAGTTCCCCCTCCTGTGTGACCCCGGTTGGTGCGTCCAGCTAGTTGTAGAGTACCAAGTACTCTGAGAAGTGTAAGTGCACATACGTGGCAAACGTGTAGTAGTGTGCACCGAAGAGGAGTAAGCAGGCGGCGCCAGAGATGGGACGAAAATAAACTACGAACAAAAAAAAAAACACGAGATACATGGCACAGATTGTGCACAGCAGCATAGAGGCAAGGATAGATTCGTACCTGCAAGTCGATGTTTGTAAGGACCTCGAGCGCAAGCTGTGCGAAGCACGCAGCGATGGCGATACCCCTTCCACCAGGAGGGGTCCATGCGATACCAGCAACATCAACGGAGCCCAGATGCGGATGATCAGATGGCGGGGGCGCTCGGTTGTTGCATGCATGTATGTGTTGCCGTTTTTGCCGCCGCATTGAGTGGCGGCTTCCTTGACGACTCCATTCACATCAGGCAAGACCATCGTTAGGCCATCAGTGCCCGGAGCCAGCTGTTGTCGTTGTACACAGAAATCGAGCGCGTATGGCGCTGCTGTTGCTGAGAGAGGATTCCACCACTTGTCAAGTACAGTCCTTTGCATGTTGTGAGATACATTCAGTCTACATGTAAGTATCCATGTGCCTGATTGGCCTGTGCCTGACCAATCAAAACACTTAAGACTTTTCCCAGTTTTGCGGGTTTTGTGGCGAACAACGCAGGCGAAAACACAGCATACTCGCCCGAACACACAACCAAGACCGAGAGAAGGCAGGCGGACACAGGGGGCGGAAGTGCACCACAAAAGTCTAACAATTGTTTACGCCATTGGACCCGCGGGTCAAAAAGTGGCTCTTTGTGCTTCTGTGGGCTATTAGGAGAAACAAATATACACACAGAAAGACTACCCGTTCGAGGTATAACTACACTCGAAGGGGATGTGTTGAAGTCTTTACAGTGAGTAGAGGAAAACCAGCTGGGTACTTGACTTATTTCGAGTTTGTTTAAGCCTATACACTGATGATTTATATCAGTGATACCAGTTGGTGCTTAGCACAAAAACATCTGCGTAGGTACATTTACATGTGGCCTGCACAGGGAACACGGCGCAATATGTCATGTTGACAGTAGTTGCTGGTTTAATTTAGAAAAATACATATATTAGGAAAAACAAATATGCACACAGAAAGACTACCCGTTAAACACATAAAAGCTCCCTGTTCGAGCGAAATTCATAGTCGTTCGAGGGGGGCTTTTTACAGCAGTATTTAGGAAAAACAAGTA